CCCGTGAGTCGTAAAACAGTCACGGCGATGCTTTATGGCGGGCCTAATGCACCCCGGGAACACGTTACGTGGCAATTTAACGATCAGATATCAAGAGTCTCGGGTTCGACGTTTGTCACGCTCGAGTAATATTAACGCCGTCCAGCCACTATTGCTTAATTAAATTCCCCATTCGCGAGTATACCTGTTGTATTCTGTCTCGGGAAATTCGATATCTTTTTTTGCGAAAAGTTTTCAAGCGAGTAAGCTGTTCAACTGATGTTAAGTGAATACCGCCGCTGTGGACATCTACGACACCCGAGGGCCAGCAGATGCTTTGACAACCTTTAGAAAAGTGGGCCCCGGCTACTTCACTCACGCGCCTGTGCATTCCTACATCAGTTTCTACTTAAGCTTGTGTGTGAAGATTGATCATAGTCACTTTTTTCTTTTTTAGCTCATATTCTAGTATATGTCACGTGGACAAACACACAGATCTGAAACAATTATCTGTGGGTCGCACAAATAGTTGTCCCGTGTGGGAATCGAACCCACGACCCCCGACGCCGAATCCAATACCTTGGCGATAGCAGCGCCACGGAGTTGTCTTTATTGATGATCTCTAAAGATAAAATGCGAATTGGATGCTTTCAATGATATGAACATGATTATACTACCCTCAACCTGCCAGTAGATAAAATCAACAGTGAATATCTTTATCGATTTTATCTATATCGATAATATGGAGCTTATGGTCGATTCACCGGCTATAGAATTATTTCTACGATCGACTTGAGCTTTGCATCGTGTGTTCTAATTCAATTCGCCAACGTCCGCTTTTTACGGAGTATAGCGCATCGTAGAGCCGCCCTGGTTCCATAAACACGTTTGCTGAGCATGCCATCCCTTTAGTTTGGGTATTATCAGCAAACGTGACAAGAATGGGCTTGTGAAGAGACCCCAATTGGAACGGAGACACGGCCGCATTGGTGCCGTCAAATTTTTTCGATGTAACAAGAAAGTGCTGACATGATTGATCTTTTCCACGTTTAAAAAAAACCGCCCATGAGCGAGTCGGACTCGCGCATGGGAGGTTCCGTACCATTATCTACAAAAACAGCAAAGGGAGCCCCAATTAAATATTTTTTCTATTCTGTTTTTGAGTATTTGTTCATTGTTGTTATAGCGGCAATAGAAATACATCATCTGTGAAAATTTCAACTGTCTATCTATCACGGTTCATGAGATATAGCCTGGTAACAGACGGACGGACAGACAGACAGCCAGCGAAATCTTAGTGATAGGGTCCTATTTTACCCTTTGGGTACCGAACCCTAAAGAGAATTCTTCTAGAATTATTCTAGACTAGAAGAATGTAACTAAGGAAAAAATAAGATTTTTAGTAGAAGTAGAAAAAATTCATAGGAGTCAAATCCATCTGTTAGCTATACTTTGTTTTATCGAGCTAAGAAGGTAGAAATATAAATACTTTTACCAAATCACCGTAGTTTCACTTTAGTGTTGCCAACACATCGATGAGTTTCAGAAAAAAGTAAAGAGTTAGATAATAAAAAATGTTAAAAGTGAAGAATTCCTGTTGCAATAGCTTATAATAACTTATGGTATAAAATAACGATACATAGAATAATATAAGAGTTGTTGCGGATACCTTGCCAACCATTATAAAAGTGGGCTCCGGCTACCTTACTCACAAGACGAAACGCGAAAGTATAACTTCCACTTCGCATGAGCTTCTGTGAGAATTATAAATTATAATAGCTTGAAAATTAATCCTAACACAAACGAATCTAATCAGAAAAAAGATCCTCACCCAAAGGAATACTCTACAACTTTCATTTAAATTACCTATTCAATAAGTAATTATTTCATTAATATTTTACGTAAATTACCGTCGTGTGTATTCTGTTTATAAAGACAAATATTCTTACTAACACCCCTCCTCCTCCTAAAAAGGGAGATGAAGCACTTCTGTAATCAAACTGAAATAATAAGTTTAACCGAAGTGTAATTCATAAATATGTAATTAAAACTGTCCAAACTTACCTACATTTAACCAATGAAATTGATATACGAGTAATTAGTAAAGTACATGTAATACTGCAGTCTGTCAAATATGGGATATACATTATTATCTCCAATTTATTTTTACCACCAATTTACTTTTATTTAAATTCATATTCGGATGTTACATATAATCAATAGAAGTACAAGGTCATAATCTTTTTCTCAAATTTCATACATCATATTTTTACATCCGGCGGCGTCTAGTTAATTATCACTTAATATCCGACATTTTCGCGTTCACACAGCGGTTAATTATGAGCCTTTTTATTAATTAACGTCGTAGAAATGTGCTCAAGTAAGCAAACAATCGACATTAAAACCATATTGGCGTATAATATTTCATCAAGTTATCATTTACTAATTTCAGACACGTTATGTAATTTATTCTCTCAAGGTTTATGAATCTTGTAGACTATTTAAAAGAAAAATTCTATCGGAATTCAATGTTTGTATTAAAAAGCGATTCTTCAATTTTCCTTCAGTGAAAGGTTGTTAAAAATTATGATTTTTAAACTACAGCAAAGCAACACCGTTCCAAAATCGCTTCAAAGCCCTCTTTACTAAGTATTCAATGTGGCGTTTATATTATTTAAAACATTATTTATTCAATTTTCGGAGTTATATTTAAGTGTTGAAAACAAGGCAAGCTATAAAATAGAATGGGCTTTAAATTAATATGCATATATAAAATCAATGATCGTTTCATTATGTTGTGTATAAATTATCAGATTATATTATTTGCTTTCTATATTGTTATGATGATGAGATTTAACAACACAACAATTATCGTGGCACCATCACATATATTTTAGTTACGGCGTAGTAACTCAATATTAAACGCGTATTTGAAAAATAAACAAACTTTGATTTTATTTATTTATTAAGAATATTTTAACTCAAAACAATTCTTAAAATGTGTACACGCCTTAGTTATACGTCTGAATTTCAGACTAATGTTTTTAATTAAAAGGCATAGGCTAATTTATAAGCCTACGAAGAAGTTTTTTCTGTCGCGAACTTTCACAATTTAGTACGTTTTTTATTGGGAAACCGGAATAAATTATCGTTCAACTTCGTTTCTTATTGTTCTGTTTGAATAAGCTTTTTTATTAGGAACGGCTAAAGTTTCCACTCCCCCGATGCTTTGTCGGATTATTTGCAACAAACAAAACGAATGCCTGAAGTTCTCTAAAGCAATGGATCTCAGGTGGCCCCGAGTAAACTTAGGATCCACGCGGCTATGCCTATAAGAAATACGTTCAAACATTCACTTACAACTTTCGTAACGTTCTTCGTGATCAATACTATTTCCTTGTCATACTTATTTATTGTGATTGTGAAAGTCGAATGAAGTCCTCTACTAACTTCCCTCGCTTTAGGTTTGCACTGGTAACTTTTTTTTCACCAATATACTATTGAATCACAGTTGTTGTTTTAAGAAACAAGTCGATGACATAAATTTTATAAACGCTTGGAACCTCTCGGGTCTCTCTTCCAAAAGGAGACAACTGTAAGTTTCAACCCGACTTTTAGGGACGGTTTGTCAGTTTAATTCAACGACACTTATCCCAATATCGCATCGACTTCACGTAGGCCATCTTAGAAAAAGAAATCTGTGTAAATAAAATCAAAATGCTGATAGTCGTGGCAGATCGGATAGTTCTTCAAAGTCTCGATATTTTGTTCAATTCGGGCAAATTTAACCTATCCAGAAAAGTTCTAGTCAGAATCCATATTTTGCCATTAATAATTGTTGAAAAACAAGATAATATCAACTCTTTACAGCGAAGAGTGTGTGTGTGTGTGTGTGTGTGTGTGTGTGTGTGTGTGTGTGTGTGTGTGTGTGTGTGTGTGTGTGTGTGTGTGTATGTTTTTTTGTGTGAAGGTGGCAAACCAGCTGGGGGTTCACCTGATGTTAAGTGATGACCGCCGCCCATGGACATTTTCAACACCCATATGGTTGCATACGTATTGCCACCTTTTAACAAACCGCGCCCCGGCTACCGCACCCACCAGACGAAACGCAGGACTATAACACTTCCACTTCACAGTCTTCTGTAAGGTCGCGGTACTTCCCCGGACGGACCTGCCCATTCGTGCAACAGTGACGTTGCGTGGCCCTACCACATGTGTTATATCCACACGTCCTGTTTAAATCGCTTTCTGATTCTTTGATCATACTGCATCAACTCGGGCAATGACTACAATTACACTGCTCTATATACTTTGTGCATACACGGCTGTTATCGTTCCTGATAGAAGAGGGACTGTTAAACGGTGGTAGGGCCACGCAACAGCCTCGGCTGTTGCACGAATGGCCAGGCTAGTCCGGGTAAGTACCACAACCTCACAGAAGACCGGCGTAAAGTGGAAGTATAATACTTTCGCGTTTCGTCTGGTGAGTAAGGTGGCCGGAGACCAAATATCAAAAGGTTGTCAATGCATCTGGAACCCTCGGGTGTATCAGATGTCCATGGGTGGCGGTATTCACTTTACCCGTGAACCGTCTGCTCGCTTGGCAACTTTTCACATAATTAAAAAAAGAAGCTAAATAATTAAATATTTTCGGACACATTTTTTTACATAATGTTCTAGGTACTAGATAACTAAACTACTGATAAACATACTTAAACATCATTTTCTTTTGTGAAATAAAGAACATAGTGTACAATTATAAAGTACATATTATATTATACATTTATAAACACGCAGACACTGGAACCCTCTGTATAGAGGAGGCCTTTGCCCAGCAGTGGGACTTGTATAGGCTGTTACTTTACTTTTACTTTTTAGACACTGGAAAAACACGAAGTTCATCACACAATATTTTTCTAGTAGTGGGGATTGAACCCCACACCCTCTGGCGCGAGAGGCAGGGTCACTACTCTCCACGCCAATCGGGTTATCAATCGATGAAGGATATCCCGTGTTAACAGGAGGCGTTGGAAGTTCTGCGGACTGCTGCCATGCGCGTTGAGCTGCGAGTGTCTCGGCCGCCCAGCGACGCGCTGGAGAGCGTCACTCCGCCGGAGCCCCCCACGCCACCCGCACGCACCCCTCACCCGCCACACCTTCCACCCATCGACCCGCTCAACTGTCACCCGTTACACGCCAGGTAAGATTGATAATAAATAAATTTATTTATTTATTTTATACATCAACTTACAACTATCATTACAGGCTGTACCTAATGCGATAGTGAAGTTCGAATACAATTTAAGATGACATAAAACTATACTTATAACTAAAACTAAAACTAAACACTCAGAACATGGATCGTAGCCAATGTGAACTCGTTCAATGAGCAATGGAATAAAATGTATCCCAATAGGCATCTAAACACAAAGTGAAATAGCTGTGGACAAAACCACAAATCGTTGCACCTTCCTTGCAGTCGAAATGTATATGTCCTGCTCATAGACGAACAACTGTGAACAACGGCTAGGTGATTATTACAATTTTCAGTTCTTCGATGTAGTTTTTAAATAAAAGAATAGTTTATTCCGATTTGAGCGACGCGAGGTGAATTTGTGTACCCAAAACAAAAAATGAAATCCCGCTTTCACTGCTTCTGTCCTTTGCGTTTTATACGTTCACTATGAGATTTCGCGGAATTAGTTATAAATTTCATAACTTTTCACTCTTGTGTTAATTCGTAACAGTTCTGTTATGTTACGTATGAAAAGATATTTGGCTTGTAGTTTTTTTTAACATAACATTACCCTCTTTCGGAATTCCACACTAGTAAAAACTGATAGTATAATGGAAATTCTTATTGTACCAATTTTCTTCCTATCCGTATCAAAAATAACTTCGTTTTAAAATACATTGAAAATATTACGTGTCCATTAGCCATCTTTATAGGTTACCTGCAACGCCATGTGGGTTTTTTATTAGATTCAGCCTTTAATTATTTATAATACTAGCAAATAGTTGTGTAATAATAAAGATACACACCGTCTGTATATATGATAATGGAACGTAATATTTAATAAGCAATCGATAGCTTGTCTTATCTCCATATGCGGTACATATATTTTCTTTTTAATTATAATTATTTTTACTGTTTTTATGTCTTTATATATACATCGTATTACATTTTATAATAGAACTATATATATATATATATATATATATATATATATATATATATATATATATATACATCATTTCTACACGATAATATAAAATAGAATTTAATTTTCTTTTAGACGGACTGCATGTAGGAGAGATTATCCGCCATCCGCCATATTGTTAATGGTTGTGATAGTCAATTATTGTTAATATTGTAAAGACTTTATTTTGTTGTATAATTAATTTTAATAAGTTAAATATTGGTATTAGTATTACTTTGCTGTGTATGGGTCAGTAAGGCATCGAAGTATAATGAAGCTAGAAGGTTAGCACTGAAAATCAGCGCTGTGTTGGGGCCTCGACTTCCGGCATAGCATAATGCTGAGCTGCTAACCTAATTTACCGGAATAGGGCGTAGAAAATTTTTGGTTTGCTAAAGTTCTTTATCATTTGTTTCATATTTTAATTATGCATTAATTTGGCTTTACTGAATTATTTATAAGTATTTTTTTATTTCTTTTATTTTTTGTTAATTTTAATTTTTTTTTTCTCTTTTATTGTGTGCGTCCTTTTTTGGTAAATAAATGGATTTTCTTTCTTTCTTCTTCTTTCTATATTGTAAACAGAGTTAACCGTATTTTTGGATCGTTATAAGATCTACTTGGCACTTCAAACAGAGTTCTTAATTTAATTTTAATTTATTCATACATATCTCTTATAATATCGCATTCGGAAAGTAATCAATCCCTAATATAAGAAATAACTTAGGTATTAATTTATAAAAAAGTTCATTAGTTGCCATCATTATAAATTTCATTACAATAAGAATAACTACGATAACTTTTTAAAGGAATATAAACTTCAAACAATTTTTTAAATAAATTAAATATTCTCGTGACATAATAAATTTTTCATTACATTCAAAAACGATCTAATGAACTCCTCTAGACATTAGATCGAGTTTTTGAAATTAGGTTATGCTGAAAGAATGCGATAGTTACTTATTTCGTTCCAGAAAAAATCAGCCAAATTGATATTTATACCACAAACAAAATTACAAAAAGTTTGTCATAGAAGCTATAAATAATTTAAAATAAGACTTCTTCTTTCTTATACCACTGTCTTCTCTACCATATGATTTCATTGTATTCTTTTATAAAGCCGGGCATTACATTTAAGTATGATTTTGATCATTTTGTTGGAATTCAACCTGACATCACAAAGATAAACATAATATAGGTCAACAAAACATAATTGTACATACTCTTTTCTAGTCATTTGTGCGTCCTCCTTTTTGCATACTATACAATGAAAGACAATAAATTGTATATTAGTTTAGTATGCAACTCTTGTTAACCTAAAAAAAGGAAAAATAAAAGTTATCCAAAAAACATTTCTCTGTAATTAATTTAACATCGGATTTATTGTTTTAGAAACGACAAAGGGAGGTTAATAAATAATAAATAATAAATAAATTTTCTAATTGATTTTCGTAACGCTTGTCTGGGTTTTCTCAGAACATACTCGGAGATACACTACTATCTCATTAGTACATAGTTAATTAAATTTAACAATACATTAATTTAACACTATCATTTAATTAAGTGTAGCAATATACAAGTATCTTGTTCATTTTAATTAAGTTAACTATATTAAAATAAAAGGTAATAATAGAAAGAAAGAAATAGAAAATACATTTATTTACCAAAAAAGGACGCACACAATAATGGGAAAAAAACTAAAGTTAACAAAAAATAAAAGAAATAAAGAAAAAATACTTATAAATAATTCAATAAAGCAAAAGAACACAAATACATAATTAAAATAAAAAACAAATGAAAAAGAACTTTAACAAACCAAAAATATTGTACGCCCTGTTCCGGTAAATTAGGTTAGCAGCTCAGCATTATGCTATGCCGGAAGTCAAGGCCCCCAAAACAGCGCTGATTTTCAGTGCTAACTTTCTAGCTTCGTAATACTTCGATGCCTTACTGACCCATACACATATCCATAGCGCCTTCAAACATTATATTTATAACAATAGCGCTTTTAAATGAGCTATAAAATATTATATCCTTGCCATGTGCGATTATCGCGCGTCCTACCGTCAGGTAGAATAAAATTAACGCACGTAAAAAACAAAAAACTATTTAATGATAACTTGCTTCTCCCCAGGCTGTCTCAAACCACCAGCAGTGCTACCACATCGTCTTCTGAAGGAAGGGGGCGTCGTGAAGCTAGCCCTGAAGTTGACAGACGTGATTTGCATCTTCCGGACCTCGACAGACCGTTGCCAGTCTACGATGTTCAATACGGGGTAAGCAGTACCAGATAACAGAGTCAATGGGGAGCGGGGCCAGCCCGCTCCTCACATAAAAAACTATACTATTTCTCCGTAAGTTTGACAACATATCTACCAGCTACCAACCCACAGATTTTTAGATACCCATGAACGTCGATAGTCACCTTTCAAATAAAAACGTAATTTACATAATTTACAAACGCAAGTTACTATTATAAATGAAACTAGTTTTACGGATTTATCGCGTTTATTTTCATTCTAATTCCCGACCTTTCGAACCCTTTACAGCGTTCATTTATAATGTGTAATCGCGTAAATACAAGGAATTAGCAAGTTACTATGTTCAAGACATGTTCTTAAATCTCAAAACGATTTAGCTCATAACATTAATTAATAAAAAGGATACAATGAATATATGTATAATATTGTGTAGTCACTAACCGCATAATTGAATGTAACATCGTGTGTGGTTTTGTGTAAATGTATGCCTACATAACCATTTCGGATGGTTATGTTATTATCTGATTATGGTGTAAACATGGGCCGTGATCGGCTACTCTGCCCACATTGCAAATAATGTATTGACCGGACAATAACTATCAATACCGCTACATAACATTCGGTAACTATTATTATATCGCTTAACTACGACCCAAAGCCAGGGCATAATTGCTCTGCGTTTACCCACAATACAATATGACTGATTGTCATTGGTATATATGTATCTACATTATGGAGCATTTCATTTGAAGCGGACTAAGTAAAAATTTCAGTATTGAAATTAATCCATATTTAAATTATCTGCCACTTATATATGATCTGAATGGGAACTTGTTTTTATTATTTTTCTATGAATACTAGTTAAAAGTTTATGTTTTTAAAACGTCCTTACTACACGTTATAATGGTATCCTAAAGTAAGGGCAATGCCCAATTTTTTTTTTTAAATTGAGTATTAAATAATTGAAAAAAATTAAGGACAGAACTATTCAAAAATCATTTCTGCTCTTTTTTAAGTTTATAAGGAATTTAGATTTAAAACTAACGAGATAAATCCGTTATTATAGTTTTATTTGATACCTAAATGTGTAGTTTAAAAATTTCAGAATAATACCGTACTAATACTTATTTTGCAATTTTTCTTGCTCGGAAAGTCTATAATTATGAAATACTATAGTGTGTTTAATCCTAAACAGTGAAAAAAGAACTTGTGCTATCCACTAAATGTAACTGGCCTGCTTTGAGATTCTAAGTTGTGACCATAGAATATCAATTGACGTCCGTAATGCCTGTCCCACAATTGAGACGAATGTAATGACTCCTCTTATGTTGAAATCCCTCGCAAAGTTTAGGCTGTAGAGCATGCCAAACAATTAGTCATTTATGCACACATTACCCTCTTTCGGCGGTCGGGCAAAAGTAAACAAATTTATACGACGAAAATGCGTTTTGTTACATTACTCCGCGCGCCATTTCCTCGAAGATTACGCTTCGTCTCATTTAACCATGGCATTACCGTCTACTCCTTTAAAACTCTTTGGTAATTAAATGTGTTAACCTATTACTCTGAATGGGCCTTCACTGCCGACGTAGCAATCGTTAGCCGCTGTACAAAGTAAATGTACGGGCTATTTTCTTTTATTGATAATCTACATTAATGCCGCGCACTTAAAACTCAATCCGTAAGAACAAATACAAAAGAAGGAAACCCTATATTGTAGCCAGCATTTTTAAAAATATTATACACGTATTCACTAAAACGGTGTTTAATTTGTTTTAGTCAAATAGTAACTACAATTAGTATGTATGTATTTAATTACCTACTCCAATTTCGAGAATCTCTGAATAATTTCTGAGAAAAATTTACTGGAAACCGCTAACCGAAAGCTTCCGGTAATTGCCCACGCAAAGGAATTTCTGTCATAATGCCAACAAAATTTAAAACACCAATTTATGAGATAGGGAAAGATAAATGTTACTCGGTTCAACCGGAAGCGGTGTAAGTCCCAATCCTCGGATATATCTAAGTTCACCGAGGCTGAGAGAACCATCAATTAAAAGTGTCGATCGCTTTTTGTTTCATCTCATCGCAATTAATCCCGCATTTTCTCGGAAGACATTACTCTCCGTGACTAACGGCTACTAACTACACTTTATTTGCGGCTATAATTTATAAAAGACGTACGTATTTTCCTTTAAAAGTAATATTAAGTTGCTTTGCCTCAATGATCAAACTTTAATGGGCTTTTATTTAGTGATCTAGATAATTCCTTTTTGTTTGTTTTAAATTTGGAAAAAAATAAATAATAAATGATCCAATGGTAAGAAAATCATTTTAAGGCACGTCCTGTAAGTCAAGGCGGACCCTGGAAGTCTTCAAAATTGTGTTCCAAAACGATTTGCAGTTATTATTGGTTTTGGAACCTGACTATGACTATAAATTTTTTGAAAGATTTTGTATTCCAAAAATCAAGATAGACTTCACAGTAGAGTAGCTTAGACTTAGAGCGCGCTTTGCGTGGTGCAAAGCGCGCTCTAATTCTAAGTTACTCTACTTTATAACGCCTTTTTCGCATTTTTGAGACTAATGACAACCCTTGTTACTTAGAGAATACTTGTTTAACCAATTAGCGAGGAAAATTGGCATTCCTGACAGCATGCAGGAGTTGACTTATTGGCGAATTTTTTTTAATTTTTTATATTTGAAAATCTCGGAAATTTGCTAGATGTAAATAAAACAAAATCTTTTATAATTTAGGGTCATTTAATTCAATAGGATGCCGACTTATGGAGCAAAATTTATCTTAATTTGTAGGTATGTACATGGTAACTGTTAGTACATAGTAGTTGTTACGGGCCCCTTCCTAATTTCTCAGTGGGTTCTGGAAATCTCGTCACTCCGGGTAAAAAGGTTAAATTTAAGAGGCCCCAGGGAGCTAGTACCCTTTCCCAATTAATAAAGCTCTTTGTTCACGCCCCGCAGGACGATGGATCGGTGGTGAGTAAATTATCCAATAGCTTTGGGGGATCAGCCGTTAAAAGTTGAATAATCCGTCTTAATTAAAACGTACCCTGCAATAAAACACAGTTCTACATTTCGCCGGTCGCTGGCATTTCGCAAATGTATTTTTCGCAAGTTATTTTATTACGTTAACTCGAACCGTTCTGTTGCTACGATTAATGGATGGCTTTTGTTTTTATGATTTATAAACGTTAGTGGATTACGTTAACGAATCGCGTCATTCGCTTTTAAGATAATTTTATTACTTTTTTGCAATATTCTACCATTATATTATATACTTTACTTCATATTTATTAGATCATATTTTCTTTATTTTGCCGCCCTATATACTAACCTAATTAACACAAAAGTTATACTCTTTACCGCTTGTGAAACTGCTATGATTCATCTGAAATTATTAAGGCTGCACATAGAGATGCGTACCTATTAGAAATAAATTGGCGTTAAATTCTTTCCTTTACGTAGTACAATTCTAAATATCCTTTAAACGACTCCGCTCATGTAAGAGTCAAATTAAAATGGCCTTTAGTTTCCGATGGATTGTCAATTTCTGATAGACGCATTTCTCTCAAATTCGCTTATTATATTTACCTATGTTAGTTTCATCCAATCGTTATATTTCATCATGGAAAAAATGTAACAAATATGATTATATTATATGTATTATCCTTGTTGATAAACAGGAATTCGACATTGTCATGACGAAGGTAAACGGATCCCTCGGATTCACTTTGCGCAAGGAAGACCACAGTGCCTTGGGCCACTACGTCCGCGCTCTAGTTCGGGAGCCAGCCCTCAGCGATGGAAGGATACAGCCTGGCGACAGGATTGTTGCGGTGAGTTTCCTTCATCAAGGATAAACGCCATCTCGGCTAGCTACGGACATGAGCAACACCTCAGGGCTGCAAAAGCGATTGCTAAAGATGAGCGGAAGATGCCATTTGGGAAGTTCTGAGTTTTCGAATTTCATATGCTTTTGAAAATGGTTCAAAATGATCAGCGTGATATAGCATTATCACCATACTTTTATAAAAATAATTTAATTTTACTCAATTTGGTGCTATGACATAATTATATGGTATTTTAATATAAACTAAAGGTTTAGAATAGAAAATCATTAATGAATGTATTATAATGTTGTGTGCCTAAAAATTCTTTGACACGAATAGTAAACAATGTTAAATAAAACTAAACGCGAAAAAAATCCGCTATAATAACTTAAATTTCCTTTAACAACGTGTTGTGTGCCGTAAACATACCATTCTATCATCTGGGTGTGTATCTTGAAAAGACTTATCTTCTTTAACAACGCGTTTTGCGCTACAACTAAATATGGGTGTGTATCTTGAAAAGACTTATCTTCTTTAACGCGTTATGCGCTCCCGCCAAATCTGGGCGTGTATCTTGAAGTCGATCGCAATCCGTTAAACACAAACGCGCGTGCTCAGGTGAACGACACCCCGATGTCGAACATGTCGCACACCGAGGCCGTCGCGTTCCTTCGCGCGTGCGGCTCCGAGGTGCGGCTGCGGCTGTACCGCGACCACGCCGCCACCCCCCTCTCGCCGATGTCGCCGAAAGACGACGGGCCCACCGACTCCGATCCGCCTCTCAGCAGGCCGAAACCACCGCTGAGGTAAGTCGATCACAAACGAAATCGTCCCGTCCCCATTTCTGTCTGGTCCCTATGCTTAGATCTTAAGGTTTTGATGCGGTTCTTTTTACTGAATAGAGTGATTCAAGAGAAAGGTTTATATATCCTTACTTCCTTCCTAATGTTATAAACGCGAAAGTTTGTATGAATGGATGGATGTTTGTTACTCTTTCACGCAAAAACTGCTGAATAGATTTTAATGAAACTTTACAATAATATAGCTTTTACATCAGAATAAGACATAGGCTATACCGTAATTTATATACATATATCTGTCTTTCTGTCTGAATGTTACGCCTTCAGCCTATTCTACGCAGAGGTAGTCGCGGGCAGTTACTAGTGTATTATATATTGCACCCGTGCGATGCCGCGCGACGTTGCTAGTATAGTATAAATTCTAAGTCGTCCCACTGTCTGGATGTCCCTGTGTATGCTTAGATCTTTAAAACTACGCAGCAGGTCTTGATGCGGTTCTTTTTACTGGATAGACAGATTCAAGAGGAAGGTTTATATGTATAAATCGTTGCACCCGTGCGAAGCTGGGACGGGTCGCTAGTAAGAAATAATTGAGAACAGCATCGGTTACTGTCATGGGCATCGTCCTAATCGTCTCGACATTATGTCTCAGTACATACACGAGGCTTGAACCCTCGTGTGGCGACGAAATATTTTGTTTTAAGCATTTCGAAGGACCTCACTCACCAAACGAAACGCAGAAATATAACACATCCACCTCACGCCTTCATCCGGGGTGTGGCCAGTTTGTGCAGACTGTTGCGTGGCCCTACCACAGTTTCGAAAATTCATATTTTTGTATTCTTGGCATTTTGATATAAAAACTACAAACTTCAATAAAAACTTAAAAACACATTCATAACTCGAATACCTTTTTTTTTGTAATTATTTATTTCGTCTCCAATTCAATGAATCATAAAATATTGAAATAATAAAAACTCTGAAATATCTAGTAGTGACATCATAAATAGACTATTAAAGCCCATCTGTCTTCATTAGTATCTTAGTTCCTAACACTTTAAGTAACATTGTACAGACAACAGAGAAAGTCGATGATAAAAAACCAGAGATTACCTTTATCATTCAAACAAATTTTAACATAATTTGATAACACTAAAGGGTCGTAAAAATAATTCATCGTATTAATTTTAAAGCTTTTTATAGTGCTAATCTCTGCACTTAAGATTGAACATTAAAACATGTAGAAAAAGTACGAAAAGATTGTCGCCGCTGTGGGAATCGAACCCACGTCTTCGGCATTCGCGGCCTGACGCTCTAGCCACTGAACTAAACGGCTAAACAATTTTAGTCATCGTATTAAGTTTCAAACACTAACCGGTTATTGTAATACCAAAAGATGCTTGTTGTGATTATGGTAGGATTAGATATCCTAGGATTGGGACATTTATAACCTGTTGCGTTACATCTACGTTTGGTACAGACCAGAAGCAGTGTCGATGCTGTGCGACCTGGCCGCTCGGCGGCTGACTCCGGACATCGTAGACGGCCCTCGCTCCCCGTGCCTCTCGCCGCGGAAGTTCCGCAAGCTGACTAAGGACATTGCCTCAATCAACCACTACGAACAGCCCACTGGTATGTTTCGGACTGTACCCAATGCTATGGACGCTTTGCTGAGTCGAGACCTTTGTCGCGACCTGATATTGCCTCAATCAACCACTACGAACAGCCCACTGGTATGTTTCGGACTGTACCCAATGCTATGGACGCTAAAGTTTTTAATATAAATGTGAGGAGACCAAACGGTAAGAACTAACATGACATTAACATAATACATGAAAACACAGGAATGATGCCCGATAGAAAAAAATTGCAAACTAAAGATATTACGGCAGATATGAACATGTCTCAATCCATATTTTATTAATACATAAAATTATTCATTTTTGATCATATATTACAATTATCGTGAATAAAGGCACTTCTTTGCCATGTATATTTTAGTTATTTGAATCACTTCCGACACAATAAAATACTCTTTGTACTATAATTCAGATTACTGAAAAGAAAAGAAAAATGGACTTAATTAACTACGTAACGCGTTTGACAAATCAAATAATTTTATAGTGTCTTTGCACCATAAATAATTTGAAATAATAGAGTTTAATCTGATTACACGCATGAATGTCAAGCAGGAATATATGTTTGTGATCCACAAATAATTGTGCCGGGATTTCGTATACTTTGTGCGTGATTTCATATATGTCTCATGATATGTCACTCATGATACAGATATCCCGAGTAGTGGAATCAATAAAAAGGAGAGAATTTTCAAGATATATTAGGTTGTTCGGATCAAACCCGCCCATACAAATATTCCAATAAAAGATATAGATTTCATTTATACGAACTTATATTTAAAGATCAACTAGAGGTAGTCACCCTGCGAATTTATAACCGCTTGTCAGCGCTAAGCTAACTTTCTCACCTTCCATGTTGGTTGCCATCGGTTATTTCTTTATCCAAACCTTTTCGCAAGGCATTGGCATCAGAGTAAGCAACACCACCAATTCTTATCTTTAACTGATGAAAGTAACCATAATCACACGGACTTCAGTCAGTTGAAACCAACGCTCAATCTTATGTTGATCCTTAAATTGAAAAAAATTCAAAACCGGGCGGGTTAGATCCGAACAATCTAATAAAATAAAATGGACAGTACATTGGAATTAATTATTGAACTTATTAACAATAGAAAGTGTTTAGCCAACTTTGGAGCTGGCCGTTTAGTTGACTGTCCAAAGCGCATCGCCACGTTAGACCACCGCCTAATTAGTCGCAATGGCCGAACGACCGCGCCTTTATTGTCTGCTTAATTGAATCGTATCACATTTGTCCGCGCTGAAACGTAAACGCGCGTCCCATTGTGCGGTAATGGTCTCGAAATTCGTTGCTGTTTGCTGGAAATTAATTTCGCGGTCTGCATAAATTTTAACGCGCCACATTGGATAGCGCGCATATAGAAAGGTTTTCCCAAACGAATTCGTCGTGGTAACCGTTACCGTGGTATTAGTATTTACATCTTAATGCTCAAACAAACAGTCGTTGCACTAAATTATGCATTAGTTGAAAAATGAGTTTGTTGCTAATTTTATCTGTCAGTTTGTTTTAATCAGTTATGTTCGTGGATGTTGTGTCTTGTGGAAGTGATATATTCGTAAGATTCTGAAATATATCTTAAACTTTTATAACATATACTCGTATGTTATAAAAATTTAAGAATATATTAGAAATGCAACTCTTAATATTAATCCATACAACAGCAGAAGCTGTAACAGGACTCTACCTCAATGTATATAGATAAAAATTTAGTACGGACAAGCATTTGAAAGATTTCGGTAACATGAAAAATTGCGAGTCGAACTAGCGCATGAAGGGTTCCATACCATTATCTATAAAAACCGCAAAAAAAATCATGTCGGTTGTATAGGAGCCCCACATTAATATTTATATTCTGTTTTTTAGTACCTACGTGTTGTTATAGAGGCAACAGTAATACATCATTTGTGAAAATTTCAACTGTCTAACTATCACGGTTATTAAGATAGAGCCTGGTGTCAGACGGACAGACAGACAGCGGACTATTAGTAATAGGGTCCCGTTTTACCCTTTGGGTACGGAGCCCTAAAAAGCTACTTTCATTAAACCACTAGTTGCTAAGAACAAACGATTCGCTTATTAATTTCTAATATCACATTTATTTCACAAACAATATAACAACAATTCTATTAAGTGATTTCATAGATTATAATTATGCAAGCTATAGCAACACTACACACGAAACACGTCACGCACAAGCGGCCGCGCTCGGAGACAACGATTAGCACTTAGCCAGCATAACCTCGCTGTTCCCTCAAGTCTCTCAGACTGAGCGGAACAGCGAACTTAATGACGGCTAAGCGCTCACTGGCGTCTATGAGTTCATAAGTGTCATGAGTTCGTAAGCGTTCAGATGTTCCCGCACAGATGCTCCAAGCGACATAGGCCTAGAGAAACACTGTGCGGTACCGGCCGCCGACCCGACCTGTAAGGACGCTCGGCGATCGCAACGCCAGCACACAGTTACCCCCGCCAGCCCCACGGCCCCGCCCACATGTAGAAAACAAAAGTTGAGCCTGACAGGTGAGACTCTGTCGGCCCCCCCACACGATCCGGAAACCGATACGACCGTCACCGGACACACCGCTACACGAACGACCCCTGTACTTCATTTAGCGCCTTCTTCCGCATCCGATGTTCGTCTCTTATTCGCGATTCGTTTTCGAAAGTCTTGTAAATTAATCGGTTAATCTAAAACATGAGCCGGTAACAATTATTGTTTCATTCGATACTAATTTGTACAGACTACAATTGACAGATTATTTATTGTCGCTTAAGAAATTGGGTTAACACTACCATTGTGCTTTTAAATAAAAGTAATGGGTATACAATCAGAAAAATAGATTCCTACAACTGTTTCTTCTGAAGGGACTTGTTCGACAAAAATGAATCGTGGATAACGGAATAAAGTAGACCGCGTGTTGGGCGTAAAACATTCTTCTGTTTATGCACAATTGCACCTTAATCGTTTTTCATAAATATCGGTGGACGAATTTACCAATGTTGCTTAAATTATGCTACTTTCACTCTATGGGCCACTTGTTTCACGCTATAACTTTATACATATATTTTAAGTTGACATTAAGTTTCATAACTAAACTGTTATTTATAGTTATTTTTTCCATGGACTATAATATTCCAAAAGTACTTATACTCACGTATTTTATATAACTTGAATTCCATTTAACATATCATTGACACATATTAATAATCAATTCTTTCTAGTCCATAATACGAACATTTGGATATTTGTCAATATTGACATTTGTATAAAGTAGTTTACTTTCCCATTTCATCTCTATTGTGAAATATTTGAAATTAAAAAAAATGTTCTTTCCACCGTACAACGTAGACAGTTGAGTTCCTATCATTTGATTTGTCCCTTAATAAGATGTATGCTATTCATCAACGCGACTATTACACTTTTTTATTAACATCTAGTCGAAAGCGAAATCTCTAACGCATTCCAAACAGACTTGTGCTATTTTCCTCTGCGACCGCGAACTGTCGCCGACGTATGGCGCGATGTCGTATTGACAAGCGCCCTCGCGATTCCAGTGCCGCCGCACGGCTACGAGCTGAACAACCTGGACAACGAGGCGCTGGACGCGCCACACGTCTACCAGGAGAGCAGACATGAGGGCAGACAGAGGTGCGAGGAGCCGGAGTTCCCCGTACCCCACGAGCCGTTGTCTATGCCCGCCGAGCTATCGAGCGACGACGCCCGCTTCAAGCACTCCAATCCAGCATACCAAAGCGCCGTCCTCCACACGTCCAGCAGCGAAGCGACCTCCGACGGCCACAAAGACGACGGTGGGCGATTTTGCATTCAAAGTCAAAGTCAAAATTTCTTTATTCAACATAAAGTTATTTTAAGCTATTATTGAACGTCAAAAACCACCACCGGTTCACTAAACTGACCTGCATTAATCTTATAGATCGCACTGGTGCCTAATAATTTTTTTTCTTATGTCAGAAGGTGACAAGCGAGCTGACGGCACACCTGAGTTAAGTGATAAGCGCCACCCATTAACACTTGCAACACCCGTAATGTTGCGGATGCGATGCCATCTTTTAATAAAAATGCGCCCCGGCTACCGCACTCACCAGTTTAAGCCAGCAATTTACATATTACTACTGCTCCACAAAAAGGTCAACTAGGATGGGTATTACCGTTCCTTCCCTTAGAAAAAAAAGTTCAATCCGATTGCTGTCGTTTTACGACTTGGAGTGCCACGTGTCGTCAATTAATTACGATTTGTATTACGAATTACAGGCAACGGCTTAGTGGGACTCCCACATGTCCTCGATTAATTGCGATTTGTATTACGAATTACAGGCAGCGGCTTGAAAAAATGGAAGGGTGTGGCGCTTTCTCCGGAGAACGTGCGCAAAGCTCTCCCCGAGGGGCCAAATCCGAGAGAAGCCGATCCAGCTCAGAAGGAGAACGTCAAGCCGGAACCGACACCAGAGAGCATTGCTGATGAAGAAGTCAGTGATGAACCAACGGTAAGATCTCCCTCGTCTCGCACCTTCCTCTATAGGCAACTTGTGTCGTGAGACGTCATTTAAATCCAAAAAGAGGAGAAAGATAATCTAAGAAGAGTCGTTTGCAAAAAGAAAAGAAAGAGAATCTAAAAAGAGAAGGATATGCTACTCTATAATTCGAGGTGAAACTCTTGGGCGCAAGCACCTAGAGATCGACACCGGCTTAAATTCGCAATTAATGACGCAACTCACAATTAGCCTTATACTCCGAAAATGTGAACGAAACAAAATGTTATATATAGATTACACTAGCTCACCCCGCAAACGTTGATTTGCCATTAAAACTATTTCTAGGGTATTTGTAGGGTAGAAAAAAATGTTTCGGGTGGACCACCCTTATCACTTGTTGTTTTGAAAAATATATTACGAACGAAATTTCATAAAAGACATCAAACCGTTTCGGAGGAGTATGGCAACTAACATGTTAACGGGTTACCCCACTTCCTAATCAAAAACATAAAAATACTTTTAAGACTATCACAAAAGAAAATATCACTTTCTTCCATAACACTTCCGAGAACGAACAACGTTCGGACTTGAGCGGAAACTGCTTCGGTCGCGCACTCGTCAGAATCTCAGTGGTTTGCAGATAGTGACGGTGGAACTGAACCGGGGATGGAACAGCCGGCTGGGCTTCAGCGTGCAGAGCCACCCGGAGTCCGGCCAGAGCTACATATCGGCCGTGTACAGCGACAGCGTGGCGGCTCGCGACGGCCGGTTGAGACGCGGCGACGTCATTCTACAGGTCTTTTTTATGTGAAAAGTTGCCAAACGAGCAGACGGTTCACCTGATGTTAAGTGAATACCGCCACCCATGGACATCTGCTACACCCGAGGGTTTGTAGATGCGTTGACAACCTTTTGAAAATTGGTTGAAAAATACTCCAGGTTCGAATCGTCTCGGCCTATTGGGCTTTCGGAGGCTTTACTAAGTGTATCCATTTTTTTTATTAAATCCTCGACATAAATAATGTTAAATAAAAAATGATAAACATTTTAAATCACTCGTAAGTAATTAATTACATTCATTTGAACTTATCTCAAAAAGTGCGTGATTTATAAGCAACTCATTTATTTTACGCGCGATCATTCATAACTACACGCACACAAGTTCGTTAGTGTGCGTGAACAGTAAAATTTAGGTATTTATGAATGACTACCGCGTTGTCAACAAGTTCTGTTTTTTAGGGAAAAAAAAGTTTGTTTTTATTTCAATAAACGATTATACTACCGAGTCTGAACCTCCTGTGTAAATTTGGGCACCTTTAAAAAAGTCTCCCTGTATGTGAAACTTTTCAATTAGGATATATATTCTTTCTCAAGATACCACACGGTAGTCACTGCTCTAGGATAAATTAGTATGTCGATCTATGTGGTAGGACTAATCCCCACTAGCCACGGCCGGTTGCGACGCGGCGAGGTCATACTCCAGGTTCGAATCGTCTCAGCCTAATGAAATATCGGTAGTATTATGTATGTGTATTTGCTTTATTGACCGCCGTAAAACATACACGATACACGACCCTGAGCCATCTGCCTTCATCGACTTCCCGCGTAATAGCACAGATCGTCACTCCATCTAGTGGGGATTCGCCGTACTATTTTCTTATACGTCGACAGACTAATTTATCATAATTCAGTGAATAAATACCCTGTGTTATCTTGAGTAAAAATTAATATCCTAATTGAAAAATTTCGGTAAAAGACAAATAGTCGCACATAATTTCGTTGGAGTTTTGAGCGTAATATTGTATCTTTATTTTCCAGGTTAACGACGAGAACGTTACATCAATGAAAACACCAGAAGTGATAGACTTACTGCGAATACTGCGAGGCTCGATTTGCATAACTGTACTGCGGCCACCTAACTCGCAGTAAATTGGTATTAGAAAAATGTTGAACACGTGTAAACATGCCATCACAAATGATACAAAATTACCTTTACAGAATTTGATACAATTTGATACAAAATTATCTTATTAGGTAGGTGAAATTCTCGCAAGCTCCAAATAACACTGCAACGCTCATTGAAAAAATCACAAACCCCTAGCTAGCACTGAAATAAAAATGTGTAAAACATATTTGTGTTTATATATTTGCACTTCGTCTGGTGAATGAGGTAACCAGAGCGCACTATACTAAAATTTGCAACGCATCTGCAACCATACGGGTGTTGCAAACGTCCATGGTTATCAATTATCATACGGTAAACCCCCATCTTGCTTGCCATTTTCTTACAAAAAAATATTTAAAAAATTGGCAAGGGTGCTGGCGCCTTCAACTGATGTTAACTGGCTACAACAACTGCGGGGTTGCAAATGCGTTACCTCCCTCACCAGATGAAACTCAAAAAAGTTGTGAAGCAATAACACCTTACCATGCTAAATTTAATGTAATTTCACTGAATATAAAATTCGCTTCATGAAAGCATAAGCAATGCGGCACATGCACAAATGCTTCGTCTTGCATCCGAAACTATTTTAGATGACCATAAAATTAACTAAGAATTAAATATATACCCATCTAAAAATAATTGTAATTGTAATTATATAATGAGAAAGCCATATTGCGCCCATCCTTGCACACCGTGTAATTAAAATCTTCAAGATAGCCATTCAAGTTCAGCCACGCGATACGAAAAGTTCCTATAACAGGCAAAAAATGGCGTATTTAAATAATTATTATAACTTTCTTTAATACATGTTACGAAGAATTATCTAAAGTACTGGTAATGGTATATTTGGGAATTGATCTCTCTAAAGAGTCTCTTAGATAGGGTAAATATTAAAATAATGTTAAAAATTTACAAATGGCAAATCGATGCATGTTTAATTAGTATTGTTATATTATTGAAATCACATAAATGCGCCTATACTAATGACAAACTTGGCCTTATTGATCCTATATATCCCGACCAAGTCATACGCAACGAAATAAAAAAATAGAGTCTCTTTAATTTAACTACAATTTAATTAAATTTCCCCACAGAATATAATATATAAGGGAGTAATATTGAAAGAAACTGTTCGATGATAGATCGTGTTTGTAGATATAGCATTCCATGCTTTAGTTTTATAGATGATATTAAATTAGGAAGACATTTGTTCACACGGGAAAATCAGTAAAACTGAATTGGAGTCGATATATATGCATTAGATATCAGAATTACCATGTGGAGAACTTTCCAGTAAAATATTTATTGTAAATAGAATCGACTCTTGTAGATGATATTAAACTGTATTGACTTTATAACACAGTTTAGTTTTAATAAAAGGCATGTTAATAATCACATTTAATGAGTAAAGTTAAAATATGTCGACGTATTTTTGGTAGACATTGCCATAATCTGTTTAAATGAATATCTATTTTCGTAACAAAAAATCCATAATTATATAGATAGTTATCACAACTTTCTTATCCACCTATATCAATCATAAAATACATTCATCATATGTTAAAAACTTAGATTATATACACTACGTATATATAATCAAAGAGTATAAAATATGAAAGCAATAAATCAAAATAAAAATTTAAAATGAAATTAATTATATAATACATATACACTATATATGCACTGCATTTTGTTGTTTATACTGATATATAAATCTAGTCAAATCGAAAAGAAAATTGATCATTTCGTTTTGTAAAATTGTAATGAATCGTAAGAATAAAACTTTATGGAGATTATAATACAAATAGACTTTGTTTATTTTTACCTTGGTTGCTAAATATGTATTGTTGTCAACTGAAAGATTTTATAAACAAATCAAGTCGAAAATCTATTTTAATAAAAATTAGTATAAGTTAGGTTAATGTAGTAAATGAATTAATAATTATAATCAAGCTACAAATTAATCAGAACGAATCGAATCAACCGATATTCTAAAATGATTGTGATGGATTTGTGTTAGTAGATATTTACTATATTACGTAAATTTGTAACGTGTTAAATGAAGTTATAATGTAAAACCTAATTATATGTATACATATTGTAAGTGCAAATAATATATCGAGCCGAAATTGGCACAACATGATATCATCTTGTTCATGCTCACAAATTTTTTTAAAATATAAAAGGAAAAGTTTGTTTTGTTTTTTTTTTTTTCCCCACATAGTAAACTAAATTATTCTTTATTTTGTATGCTTTAATTTCCTAGCATTCAGCGACAGAGATACCGCCAACGTTTAAATGCATCATCTTCACATATATTATTTAACGAGTTCACAGAGATAACTTAGCACCGACTTTACATAAAGCCTTTGCAGCCTCAAAATTTGTTATGTGCATTGTCTGTACCGAACAACACTTTCAGAGACAGTAATTTTTTACATGTTCGAAAAATAAAAAATCGAAACTCATGAACGTCAACCTTCGCTTTCTAAAACCCAAATAATTTTGTGAGAATATAAGTTATCTACAATAATTTCCATAGCTAGTAACAAGTCAGTGAAAACGTGGAAACATTTAAAATATATACGTATCATTTTTGAATAAGATTAAATGAAGAAACTTAGGTCGTTGCTTTATAAAAAAGATTTCTGATTTAATAATATATTTAAACTTTTGAATATTTTAAAAACCCGACAACTAAACGAGCTGGCTATATCTGCGTTTTATAGAAAGTTATAAAAAGACGCTAATAAGTGTGTCGTTATGATTTAATGAATTATTTATTTAGTTTCTGTACTTTTCCAAAGCAAGATGTAATAATTAATTAAATAAATTACCAGCTGTTTAAACTCGTGATATCGAAAATTTTACACTTGTGTTTTGACGAGTTCTATTTATACTCAAATATCTAAATCTTTAACAGTGCTAGATTTGAAACGTTATTTAATAGATATATAGATTGTATATACGTACTCGTAGGTGTTTAAATAACTATTAAAAAGTATTATAAAAGAAAATTAACCATACCCACTTTGTTGTCCACATATGTAAAACATTTTATAATATATGTCAGTGTAGTTTTCAAAGTTTTGCATTTATGCCGACTGTTAACTCGAGCTTGAAAACATATTTAAAATAACTTTTAAATCTTTACTTAACAATATAACATATAGGAGATGTTTCGTCAATGTAAGAAAACTTGCACGAGCACGACCTGTACATACAACATACTAGTAGCTATATTATAGTAACCAATACGTTTAATGTTTTTAGTTACAGTAATTTTTATTTTATACTAGCTGACTCGGCAAACGTTATAAGGAATTTGGAAGTGTTTTGGTAGACAGACACAATTGACAGGTTGACAGGTACAGTTTGTATGGGAAAATAAAATTGTTGCTATTTCGATTTTCTATGCAATTTTTCCATAATTTCTCATCCTTTAAACCTTCCCTGCACCAATATTTCAAAACCAAAATTAGCCAAATCGGTCCAGTCGTTCTTGAGTTTTAGTGCGACTAACGAACAGCAATCCATTTTTATATTATATAAGATATTATACTAAACTAATTGAAATTTTGAATGCTATCATTCAATGACATGGTGTTTTTTGAGTGCCAATTCTTTGGTACCGAGGACGGAAATCTAAAAAAGGTACACAGTTTCAGGGAAGGAAGGTTTATTTGGTGTTTTTAACCACTGTAACCCCCTCCACCACCAATATGTTAGGTCTTTTGAAGAACTACAGAACACAGGTACCGTTACGAACTGAGTAGCTGCGTGCACGCGGTAACACCTTTCCCAGTTCACTCGTTCGTACATTGGGCCACTTCACCAATGAAAATGGGTCGCACTGGGTCGCACTAGATCCTAGTGCAGTGTCTGTGAGAGTAGCACAATTTTGGTTTAAGCGTTTTCGATCCGGAAATTTTGATGTCAAAGATGCACCTCGGTCTGGGCGCCCTGTTACGGATTAAATGGATGCCATTTTTGAAAAAGTGGAGCAAGATCGGCATATCAGTAGTTTCGATGTGGCTGAAGAACTGGGAATTGACCACAAAACAGTTTTGGCGCATTTGAAAACAGCTGGGTACACAAAAAAGCCCTATATTTGGGTGCCTCATGAGCTCACTGAAAGAAACCTAATGAACCGTGTACTCAATTTTGATTGTTTATTACGACGTAATGGAACCGAACCATTTTTGAAAAACCTGATAACTAGTGATAAATAGTGGATCACGTACGACAAGAACGTACAAAAAAGGTCGTGGTCAAAGGCTGGTCAGGCTTCACAGACTCTGGTAAAACCCGGGTCATTTCGCAACAAGATAATGCTGTGTGTATGGTCAGATTTAACGGACATTATTCATAATGAGCTGTTACCGCCAGGCAGGACCATTGAACTCTACTGCGAACAACTGATGAAATTGAAGCAAGAAGTTGAAAGAAAGCGGCAGAAATTAATCAACAGAAGGGGTGTGGTTTTTCATCATGGTAACGCTTAACCTCACACATCTTTAGCCACTCAGCAAAAATTAAGAGTGTTTGACTGGGAGGTGTTATGTATCCGCTGTATAGTCCTGACCTTGCACCTACAGATTTCTACTTGTTTCGGTCTCTTCAGAATTCTTTAGGCAGTGTCAGGTTAACATCAGGAGAGGACTGCCAAAACCACTTGTCACGGTTTTTTGATCAGCAGCCCCAGAATTTCTATAGCAATGGGATCATGTGCCTACCTACAAGATGACAGAAAGTCGAACAAAATGGCACCTACATACTTTAGTTAAATGTATATAAACTTTATTAAAAAATGTTTTGAATTTTCATATAAAATGCGAAAAAAAAAATTTCCCCAAACTATTATGTCATATAATGTAAAGGTGAACAATTTTTAAACGCCGCGCAGTATAAAGATGCGTCATCGTTGTTAAAATATCGTCGTGACTATTGTTACTAAAACTTTCTAGGTGTCCTCATCTTGCCTTTCTACTGCGCATTTTACAAGAAGATAGTATGTGGGCTGCGGTCACAGGTAATGCAAGCGATTATTGAACCTGAAGTCAAGTTCCGCTACCATCAACGGGCCCCGCGTCACCAACGCGACCATGCGAGACAGCTAATTAAAGCTAGGTGAAATACGGCAACTGCATCCATAATCATATACCCCTTCGTAAAAAGGGTAACGAAGGTAATGACTCCTTTGAAATGCAAAACTTAAAACCTATCATTAGCCAATTAAAACCGTCATGATTGCTTGTGTTGAATACTGAATATTGTTAAATGAAACTGAAAAATACTTGGGAGATATCGGTGTTCTTCGGTTTTTTGATAGCAGCTAAAAAATCTAATGTTAGCTGGGGCGGTCTATGATATGGCCCCAAACTAGTCTTTTTTTCAAGAGTCGTTCCTTCACATATGCTATAATTATGTTCATTAATACATGTTCTAATAGATTTTTTATGCCTCATACAGTACACGTTCAATGTTGCTTCCTGGATTTTGAGAATATATGTTAATATATCTGGTTAATCATCTTGAAAAATGTTTCTATGGAGCAAGCTTAAATATACATAGCCTTCTCCGGGAATCCGCTGAAATATTATTAGATTTGAACTAAGTATAACTTAAAAACTAAGAGAGTATAACTTAAAAATCTTTCAATGATATATAAGGAACATGTGACTTGTAGAAAAGTAAATTAATAAGTTTTCGAGACAAAATCGAAACTTGCGACAAACGTTCACTCTCCTAAAAGGGGGTGAACGATTTTCTCTTATTCTCGTGTTAGAAAGTCGAAAATTTCACAAGAGATCGCTACACGTTCCGGATAAGACATAAGACCACTCCTTGTATTTACGTAGTCAAAAAGCTAAGCGCACGTCAATCGGCTTTAGAGGAGTGACAGATACTGAGAAAACTCAAAACATTAAATGCATAATACGTCACTAGTAAATGTCCCGCTTCGAAATTCGCAGGTTTCGGATTAGATTATTTTAATACGGCAAAACTGAAAGGTTGTAAAGATTATAAGTTTGTTTTCACCACATGCACTTAAACTTTTTTACGTTATAATTATCGTATGTTAGGGAACGAAATCGTTTTATTATTTTTGTATATAGTCTTAGTGTAATAAACAAAGGGAACAAATCGGACCAGATCAGATACCAAGATTTTATTAAATCTATATCATGCAAGTATAGAAGAAGCTTTCCAAATCCTTACCCTGTAACAGCACTTTAGAAATATGACAATTTTGGTTCTTAATAATTACTTAAATATACACGACATAACAACTAATATAATTTAATTATAGATTAGATATAAAATAATTTAATTATAGGTATCTTTATTTACCTACACTGTGCTCACATCCTCAACTGACTTTTTGTATATTTACGCTCTTTAAAAATAGTGCGACAATATGGTCCTAGTCATACAAATATAGGAAACTCGTCTAAACAGTTGACAATATATAGTTTTTTATTAATATTTTTTTAAACACGAACAGCTTAAAACTTTAAAAAAACATGTACAGAGCCGAGCTTAACCCTAATATTTAAAATAATATCTTACACATTTTAATCAAGACTTAAGCCATACCACAGATTAAATATCATACGAGCGTAACAGCAAAAACTTAACACCGTCGACTGACACAGTTTCTTTCACGTCGGTTAACGACCAGCTGATCGCACAGCCACGGTCAGCTAAAAGACAATCCGAGCAATGCGACGTGAAGACGGTTAATTACAGTGTGACCACAGACGCACCTGTGCCATATGGTTTAACTTCACGGTCAGCAAACGTGCGCCGGCTTGTCCGAGGGAGGGACGCGCTCCGCTGCCCAGCCGACGCTCCAAATTTGAATGAAGCGTAAGTAGAAAGAATGGAGTGTACAGCTAAGAAATGTTTGATTTGGTAAAGTTTCTAATAATGTACACCTTCACCTAGTTACCTAACATTATTACGGCTTTGTGTTTCCAAGGGTCTGCTGGAAGAGAACTCTCTTTAGGATTAAGCTCGCTTTGTACGTATGTTTTTGTCATTTATAGCAATTGTCCGTCTACCGTGTATATTGTGTGTACAATAAAGAAAAAACAAAACAGATATTTCATATGCGTCTTACCTAAAAGTATCCAGCGAAATGTATTTTAAGGAATCGATTAATGAACCATAATGGCGTGAATGTAGCTTAAGAGCAAGACCTGCATGGTCAATTGTTCAAACAATTCTTGGCACTTTCTTTGAATGTTTGAATCTACAAGTGTAATTGGCATTCATAGACGGCAGTTAGAGCCGTAATACTCAGTGTCCGGGCGCTCGCCTTTAATTCAATATATTCGAGCAATCTGAGTTCGATCCCGGTGCCATTACCAATGAAATTGTTAATTTTAAGCGCTAACTTTATCACGTGCTCGACGGTGCAGGAAAACATCGTGAGGAATCCTGCATATTTTCGAAATAACACAAAAAAAATATTTCGAAGATATGTAAAGTTCACCAAGGGAACACGTGGTGGTCTATGCCCTTATACCCTCTGTATCTGTACAGGCTGTTTCTTTCCTTTTACTTGAGTTAGACACTAACTAGCATTTGCAATTCGTTAACTTGCGTAGTACGGTTATTTGAAGACTTTTCTTGAGAAATAAAGCAAATTTATGCATGTAAACTAAGCTCATGGAAACGTAAAGTTTCCACAAGCTCTGTGCCCAAAGAAGCTTTATAATACAGACAGAAAAATTATAGATGTACAAATTAAAATTTTACTGTCAATAAATTGTAGCTGTTAAATCCTGAATTCGATTCTAATATTATTAATTACTACTTACTATTTCTAAAAAGATGTAATTTTGTAGATAGACCTTAATAAATAAATAAATACGTTTACCTACTTTTGTAGTGAATTTAGTATAAACCTCTCTTCAACCTTTCTTTGTGTTTTATTTTTTATATTACGTTTTAGATAGTTTTTTCTATCGATTAATCATTATGTATAAATGAGTCCCAAAAAATAACTGCTTAGTATCGGAATAAACTAAGTAATTAGCTCCTATTTAATAGATCTAAAAATGGTAAGTCCCCACAGCGAACTTCGATCTCTTTTCGCCAACAATCGTTAAGTTTCCAACGCCGTAAACATGCGAAAAGAATGTTTTGGACTATTAAAGCGTCAATCACGATCACGTAGGTCTACTGCACAACGCCCGAGCGGAGGGTTGGACGCGGCTGGTGCAGACAGTCGAGACCAACTTGCCGCGCATGCAGCCCGCGCCTATCGTTAACCGCGGAACGGAAGTGCAGTGAATGGCTATGTACACGCTACGACGAATTTGAATTAAGAATGTAATTTTTTTTATGATTTAAAAAGAACAATATAGGTACCCATTAGTGTTTCAAAAACATCATAAAATTAAAGTAAGTACTATATATATATATACTATACTTATATTTTTTTTTATATTATACTTTTGAATTTTTGTTTAAATAAAATGTAGGATAAACTAATCATAAAACTATTAAAACAAAGATTCGTAAGTTTCCGTTGTTAAAAATAGGTGTGAATAAATTAGAAGTCAAGTGAAATTATTTTCTTTACTTAAATTCTTTTTCTCTAGGTGTTTTAATTATATACCTACTAATTATTTAGAAAGCGTACCTACTTGTCACTTAAATGTAAATAATATCGTCGATGATCTCAAAATTCACTGGACCAATTTTAACTTTCACTAGAGCTTAAATACTACAAGTGATATTAATTACCATTTTAACATTTAGATACACTTTATATTCTATTGCTGATAAGGATGACAATACAGGCACTTTCAGTGCTTTAAATTTTTTGTGCCTGTTATTAGGAATTTCTGTTTTAATTTTAATAATATTATAGCCGCAACCCTGAGGGTTGTAAAATTCACAATATTTGACAAAGAAGTCTTACTAAATACACGTTTGAGGTGCATTAATATGTTATCTTAATTTTTTATATCATTAATTATAATCTTTGTCATTTGAACGTTTTTGTCATTTGAAAGGTATATAAAAGTGATAGAGTTTCATAATATCAGTTTACATTTAGTGGCGTTGGGTTTGATTCCAAGTTTATTATTCATCTATTTGTCGTTTTATAAATTAGTTAAAGTTCAAAGCCGAACATTTAAATAAACAGTAATGAGCTATTATAAACTCGTACTACTGAAATACTATAAAGTTAAGAACTTCTCGATGTATACAAATAAACAATAACTAAATAATACGTAAATAAAAATACTTGCCGCTCAGTCGTATACGTTTTATAAGATATATATTTCGTTTAGAAATTTTAAGATATTATTTGATATTATGTATCTTCACTTCATAGCTCAGGAACATGAAATTAGTACGCGCTCTAGCAATATGAAATTTTAGAATCAATGGATATAAAATAATATTTAAATTATTTGATTGAAATGTTCAATTTCGTGTATGCATCTCAAATCGTAATAATAAATAAGACATATATCATAAACATAAATAATTCTGTTTCCTATCTACGTCACAATACAAAAGAAAAAATGTGAATTGTGTTATGTCGATAGAACTAGAATCATATCGTATTGTAAGAAAATTATAAAACATAGAGCATTGTTCAAAAAAGAAGTGCTTATTGTTAAGTTAGTTTAATAAAATATTATCAATTCTTTCATCAATTTATTGTACTGAAATTAAAGCTTACAGCTTCACTTAAAATAGGCGTTATATTTTATTTTCAGACCTGTATTATATTTCATAACGTTTTTAACAAAAATAAATTGTTATCTATCTAAAATTCCAATTCTCGGTGATCGAGTTTTCTAACTTTCTTATATTCGAAACATTTATCTTAGAAATAAATCTTTTACTCAGGATAGAATGTACTGTCTCCTTCATTGGGCAGCCAATATCGAATTGTCGGATGATGAAGCCAAACTAGTTGTCAACAGGTACCTAAATAAATTATGGCGTGAAGTAGATCGTGACGGCTCTCGATTTATGGGTCAAATTGTTTGATGACAAATAAATTATTCATTACCGAGGAAAGTATTTTGAATCGGTATTGAATATCGGAATTTATTTCTAGAAAATGTACTTTCAACTTTGTAAAAATACTTTCAAAAACAACACCTGTCGTAAATGTCCTATGAAATAAATATAAAGAGGTGTGAAGTAGAAATTATTAAGGTCAGAAAAATTCTTCTATTTAATTATTGCATGCGGTACAAGTGCGAATATCAATTAATTACATGTTTTCTTATCTCTTATAAGAAAATAAAAGTTTAAGTAAGAGTAAATAAACCCTAATCTATATCTTATTAATAACTCTCATCTATTTTATTTGTAACTTACGACTATGACTAAGACATTTACAATTGGTTGTTTAGTTTGTGTAAAGTTTGATTACAAAATATCTTAACTTCATCTTATTTTTTACCTAACTGAAGGTACCTTTTTAACACGCAGATTTACATGTTCCTTGCAGTTAATGACATACATTAATTATTTACGTGCTGATGTTCTATAATTCCAATTGTGTGAAGATTTCCCACCAAGCTCAACAGATAATAAAAGAATTGATAAATCTCATTTCGATCGTATCGATTTCTAAAGCGTTCTGGTTCATTTTTAAAATTTTCCAGCAAGTTTTTTCTTATATTTCACTGGGAGAACAGCTGTTACATTCTATCATACGGTAAGGGTCCATTGACAATAACGACGTCAAAAGTAAAAGCATACCTCTACAATAAGCTACTTAAATCTTTAAAATGGACCATTTAGTAGTATTATTGAGAAAAACAACATTAGCAAAATTAAAACAGCAATAGCTGACCCCACGCATCACAATAAAAAACGGGAACGACAGATTATAGAGACTTTCCACTATCCATTTACACGCATTTAACACTTGGCTCTTAATCCAGATAGACCAGAGAGCCTAAAATAATTTAAATTAAAGTTAAGAAAAGAAAAAATTTTTACTATGCACATTACAGGATAAATATAAGAAACAAGAACGATAACATAATAACAGAAATGAATGATTCCAAAAGTTATCCCCAGTAACAAGTCCTATAAATCGGTCTGAATCGATGTGCTAGTCTTTACTAATGAAGAATTTATTTCTGTCGTAGAATAGACACAACATATGATGCGTGTTTATACATAAGGCCCAAGAGAGTTAACCACTTCTACAATCTCGTTTTAATTGTATCCCGTTTTAATCACATCGTATCCGTAAACAGAACCGGTAGAATATGAGATTAGTAATATTCATAACTTGCTGTAAAGTTAGCCATAAACCATCTCAAAAAATATATTTTAATTTTGTATCTTATAATAGCTAATTTATTTAACAAAACTTTTTAGCAACGCTTACGGGAACTGAAGTTATTTTAAGGACTCTTTAAGCGAAATTAATGACTAAAAGAACGAAATCAAACCAAGATACACCGATAAGCGAATTTTTGTAACAAACAATTGGATCTTGGGAAAACGAATACAACGACTCTAGACAATGTTAAATTAACGGTTGAATAATTTCGTAAAAATGAAAGTTCCAATTAACCGCGTCGTAAAGTGTAACATATAACAGATTACGTAAAACTTTTAATTATTCAAGATAATCTGAGTGTTTAATAGTGTTAAGGGTACATGTCAAAAACGGTTAGTGAGGACTTTCGTGTTTTTTCTTCATTCTTTGCTAACAGAGATAATAAATGTCTTACAAACATTCATTCGGTGAAATAATAGTTTACACGACATTTTACATAAATTGTAAATATCATAATGATTCTAAAATCGTTAAAAAACTTCTTTGATCTTGCGATAATAAGGAAAAAACCCATCAAAGAGTTGTCAGTTAGCGTTAACATAAAAAATAAAAACCGGCCAAGTGCGAGTCGGACTCGCACACGAAGGGTTCCGTACTATTATCTATAAAAACGGCAAAAAAAAATCATGTCTGTTGTACGGGAGCCCCACTTAAATCTTTTTTTATTCTGATATATAGTATTTTTTGTCATAGCGGCAACAGAAATACATCATCAAAGAACATTTCAACTGTCTAATTATCACGGTTCATCCGATACAGCCTGGTGACAAACGGACAGACAGACAGCGGAGTTTTAGTAATAGGGTCCCGTTTTACCCTTTGGGTACGGAATCCTCAAAATAAATTTCAAAAACTCGCAAAAGTTCGTACTTGGTAACGTTAGAGTTTTATGCGATAACACTAAAAGTCAAAATAACATTCTGCTTTTAAATATGAAAAGAATGGTAAAGTCTTTAATTTGGTTTAAAATGCCTAGATTTGTAAGTGATAGCAAAAGAAAATTATTTATCTTGTAAAAGGGTGAAAGATTTAGTTGACACTTCGCATGTGTGATTAAATTTACTTTTTAGCTTCTTTCGATTATGCCTTTCAGCATAATGATATTTTTATTTATGCTTCTGAATTTAATTAATATTAAAGCTTCTGATGATTTTTATTTTAAATTTTAAACCTTTTACTGTAATGCCATACATTTATAAAGAGCTTTTTTTTACTATCTCCGCATCTAAAATTTACCATCGTCTTACTTTTATTGTTAAAACGGTTGGAATTATGTAAAATGAATTTGCTATGCTCCCTTGGATCGATAGCTGATGGTATCGAAATTTTGCGCAAAAACTATTTACAGTACAGTGATTATGTAGGTGATCGAGCTTTTTATGAAATCGCCAGAGCAATGACCACTGGTAGTCAAAAATAGCAATCTGGAAATAAATCAAAACGTCACATAAAACCTGTTTATTTTGGGACTCAATCTTGATTATGCAATTCGAAATGACTTAATTTTAAAACAGAAACGTCAACAGATAAATAAGATACAAATAACAACAGATAATAATTTTGACAGAGATCATTTACATAAGCGATTAAAACATTAAGCTTTTTATTACGTTATATAAAGAATCATTTAAGACGTGCTCAGAGCACGGATTGTACGTAACAAATTTTACTCCGGGGCATTCGTATTTGTAGGCGACTAGTAAAATCGATTCGTTTTGTAGTGCGCCGCAAAAAGCCGCATCGGATTAGGTGTTCGGAACGTAGGAACGATACCGGATATGTTGCGGGATGACTGGTTCTGTTCCCGGGGGAGGCACGGTCGGGCGCGCCGTCACGCTGGCTGCGTCCGCCGCTCACCTGTGCCGCGGACGGTTGGTAAATTAAAAAAAAAGACTGCGATCGATATTTTGCACTTCTTCTTTCAATTTAAAAAACGTTTCAGCGATACGTACACTGCATTTGTTATTTTTACTGCTGCGTCTCCGTGCCATATTATAATCACTGGTTTCACTTCGGTTTCACTTACAACATACAAAGAAACAAGCAATTTTCGAGAACATCTGCATGCTTATAAGTGTTGTACAATAAGATTTCTTCTTCTGGCGTTCTCACAAATGACGAAATTTCGATATTGAATATAAATATGTACCTACATACAAATATAACATAACAGTTTCTATTGGTAAAAGCGTTTTTTCTGTGCGCAGCTTTAAAAACAAAACAGGTCGCTTCCGGTCAGTTCCGTGATCGAATCAGTCCCGCGATATTCCTATTGGATACAAGTACATCACTTGACAGGCGCTAAGTAAGGAGGAGGTCGCCCTATAATTACGCGTAATTGTGTAGGCCGAGATACTTTCGCGTAAAAACTGGTTCACCCGCTCCGCATCTTCACCGGATTTGCTGCTTGATTCCACAAGGGCCGCGCCACTGGTCGTACGATCTGAATCAGTCAACAAACCGTGACCAAAACCACAGATTCTAAAAATAATGTTGGCGTCTACTTTCTTAAATAGCCTAATAAAAATGAATGAATATCATACTTATTCACATTCAAGGGCTATACTGTAGGAATTAACTGTTATCGGTAAAACAAACCTTTCAGCTAGCACGTTCGATAGAGGTGTAGGTGTCAAGTTTGTGCCGAAGTAAAATTCAACAAATCTACTTAATATGTTACTTCTGTTACAAATCAACCTTACTATATTATAATAAGACCTTGCATATGAGTTAAAAGCACCACTTTCGCTAGGTAAACCCGTTACAGAGCAATCGGGCGCCCTTATCATTATAGTGGCTGGGATACCCTCGGAATTCGGGTTCGAATACCCAACATGGACATACTCAAAGACTAATATTTAGCCTTGTTAAATCATGACTTCACTTAAGTCTTAAGATCCATGAAAATTTTCATCGGAAACCCACACCACAGAAAAAGTGCGCAACAAACGGCTTTTTACGACTGTAATGTACCAACCCTAGGTACTTACAGTCGTAAAAAGTCGCATAATTCTTTATATACGTATAAACATTTTGGATGCCCGCCTATATATTTCGATATGCAAGGACTGTTGGGGAAATCATAGCACGGTAAATATTAAACCTTAAGTAACGGAATTCGATACCCACTTTTGTTTTTAGAATTGCACAAATAACACAGAGCAGATGTTTTAGTGTTTCGCCACGCAACGCTGAACATCCTATCCTTTGTTTGCCAAATGGCCGTAAGAGATAAGAATCACTTTCCTCCAAGCACTCCATCTTAATATTTGCGTGATAACATATGAAAGGAAGCAAAAACGTATTAAAACGCATTAATGAGATCACCAGACGGAAATTAAAAATGGCAAACCGATAACATAATAACAAAACAGGCTTACAGCTAATATGTATTTAATTTCCTTTTTATTTTCAACATTGAATTGAAAATATAAAATAAATTCATTAAAGTTTAATTAATATTTAATTAATAATATAAACAACAAAATTACAACAATTTTAAAACTGACTTCATCTTGAAGTTGTCTTGTTAATACTTACCGATAATCTAAAAACCCGCTACCTATTTATTTTTTATTTCTAAGATATTTCATTTTTTTTCCTTTACATTCGATGGTGCCGTTCGATTTCGGCGTCGGGGGTCGTGGCTTCGATTCCCACACGGGACAAGTATTTGTGTGACCCACAGATAGTTGTTCCGGATCTGGGTGCTTGTTTCCCAAGAAGGGTTCAGGCAGGCGGCCGGTCGTAAATACAACCAAACCGTTTACAACATGATTCACACTTTGTGCCAACCGCACCTAGGTGGGTTAAGGGCAGAAGGATGATGATGATTATTATTATTTTTCATACGAAAACAATATACAGCGTGTCTTTACAATCGCGACAATAAATGAACACACATATAGAGGATAACTTTTTTAAATTTGTTTTAAACATTTACATTCTTTAAATATCAATATTTACCGAGTTATGAAATTTTCCAAAACAAAGAATTTTAAATACCCTTATGTATAAAACTGTAACGTAAAGTTCATTTGTAAAGGTCACAAAGCATATGAATGGGTTGAATTAATTTAAAAGAGACAAAAATACTGTTAGAAGGAGAGGCTTGTAATGCGACCCTGTGGCAACGAATGAAAAAGTCTCTGAATGTATGAATCAGTCAGTTGTAGTTGTATAGGATGTTACAAATTTCATTTCTTTTTTACTGAATTAGTTTGTTTGAAAAATATTTTTTTTAATTGTGGATTGTTTTTAACGTTAATATTTTTTATGATTATTGGCAAGTAGCGTTAGACGTGTGTTCATTTATTGTCGCGATTGTAACGACACGCTGTCTAAACATTACTATAACAATTGTTCACCGATCACCGTTCATCCGAATTCAGAACGGTATAATTTTACTATTGCGTGACGCAATTTTATGTATAACATTCCGTAGATACGCCTAAAGAAATTTCTATTATTATTAGAGAGGAATTGTACAACGTAATTTTTACACACGAAGTCTGTCATTACAAATAGATTTGCAGATGTGTATCGAAAGTTAAAAAAAAGGCTGTTGGCATAGAAAAATGAGAAAAAGCTCGATGAGCCACTTTATTATTGTAGGAAACCCACAAGCCTCTGCTCTAGTATTAATTAGCCGACTCATATGCTGTAGAATACTGCGAAGAGTTCCACGGCCTCGCAGAAGTGCTGAGTAAACTGTTTTGGGAATATGAAAGCGAGGTATTTTCCCGACATTAACTTTGGTTACCTAGTTAGTTTGGTTAGTTCTTTAGTTTATTAGTCACGAACCATTCAAGCAGTTAATAACAGTGTAACGTTAAGTTTTTATTCATCTCTTTCTAGTAATAGATATAGTGTAGGATGACATTAATGATTTTATAACTCTCGCTTCGCCGATTGTTGGTATAATTGCACGCGTTGTAGTATTCACGATAGCTTACGCTGTTTATAGTGCAATGTTGTTGGCATGGTATATATAAATAAAATATCAGTTATTGTATAGTGTAATATAATCGCAACATCAGATGAATCGCCTGCTAGTTCATAACTTCATAACAATATTGTTTTAAAGATCTAAGCATACATAGGGACAAAAAGACAGCGGGACGACTTTTTTTATACTAAGTAGTGATTATAAACAAATTAGGCTCTAATGCAGTAAACCTGTAATTTGTTATTTCATATATCGAATAAAACATATGACGAATGCTGCAAAAGTTATCGGAAAAATCATTTCACTTCTATATTAAGAGTACGTGTATGTTAATTTATTTAGGTATGTATGTATATGCGTATTATTTATGTCTTTTTGTATATATTATTATATATGTAAATAAGTTCATTATATGTATGATAAATTGATAACTGAGTGTAGTTTTGTGTACAGTTATCCTGCGTAGGAAGTCATTATCAAGTAGTCTCTAATTTATGTGTATTCTTTTCTCTTTTTATTTATTATTTTATTTTATTTGTGCACCTAACTCAACTTCTCTGGGTCACCTGTTAGGTTATTAAAGGAAAATACACTTGTCATAAAGTTTGCCTTTGAACAAAGATTTTATTTTTGCATAAAGTTTTGAATAAATAAATAACACATAACGATCAAATCGACCGATGAAGTTTTTTAGATGTTTCAAACTAATTTAATACATCAATAAATCGATTGTTTTAGTTCCATTTAAGATAACAAATACAATTTTGCAATAAAAGACCGTGTGGTTGGGCCACGCAACAGACTTCGCTGTTGCACGAATATGGATAAATATATATGTATATATATGGATAAATATATATGATATATATGAATAAATATATACGAATAAATATATATAATGCCCTGGTCTGTCAGGTTTGTTATGGCAGATAGTGGCATGTCTGTCCGGGGAAGTAATACGACCTCACAGGCTAGCGTGAATTGCAATTGTTACACTTCTGCGTTTCGTCTGGTCAGTGAGATAACCGGAGCCCACTTTATTAAAAGGTGGCAACACAGCTTAGGTCCTACGGATGTTGCAAATGCATTGCTGTGGTTATCACTTAACATCAGGTGAACCGCCAGCTCGCTTGCCACCGTCTCATAGAAAAAAATTGAGTACGCTAAAAGTGAATTACTGTGTTTTTCATTCATGCCTAATTTAGATTACTTCAGTTTTCTTAGTTTTCGTATAACAAAAAAATTTCAAACTCTTGTAATATTAATTTACAATCAATCTATTTCCTTACATTATTTAGCCTTTTCCATAATAGCTAAAATAGAATATTTTTTAAATTCTATTGTGTTTTCTTACGAATTATAAAATCTAATTAGAATAAAAGTATCAGAAGGGCGTTTGTATATACAGATCGCATAAGTGATGTAATGAAGTACCTACCTATTATCTATTCTAGAATGTCAGAGGAAACAGCGTAAAGGTACCTTTAGGTTATGTTTATTTTATATCCAGAACAATGAACTGTTGGAATGGCAAAGCTGCATGCGCAGCCTAGATCTGACATCACTCCATACGTAGGCACTACATTCATGTCCTCTTTTGTCTAATTTGTTTTTATAAAATATTATTCATCAACCCTTCAATACTTCATAATTATATAAAAATTTGTTATTTAAAAATAATGAGGTTAAAATACGAATAGAATATTACTTCCCCAATCATTACCAGCGTGAGTCGAACGTTTTCCAAACTTTAATTCTAGTTTGAATCTCCCAGATGTCCATTATTAATAGGAGTTCGTTACGCGATTATACCGCACATCTACTTAAAACTTTTTCTAACTCCTGTCCAGAAGAAGTATAGTTCCGTGCTAAAATAAACTATATTAATTAGCATATAACGTTATTTTTTTGTTCCACTGTAATGTAA